TACGTTTTTTTTTATTCCTGTATGTATAATATTGTATTGGGATTATATTGTACTTCGATAACAATACAATTATTTTTACATTAAAAACATAGTTTTTACCACCTTAATGGACGCCATCTTGGAATTTATCATGATGACGTCATCATTCCTATCAAAACTTTAAATGAGAGTGATGAGTAACTATTTAGCCAAGTTGGTGTTACATTTCATATCCACAGTATATGTAAAAGTGACCAAAAACATAAATTTATTTCCCCTACCCCCATCTTAAATAGTTTAAAATAGGGTATTTTAGGTCAAAATTTCAAAGTGCTGTAAAAAAAATTGCCCAAGCCCTAGGCATGGGGATTTTTTTTCTGAGACACTATAGGGTATGCTGATTCAGAAAAACCAAAAATTAATTTTCCTTTACTTTTTTCCCGCTAAAGTTCATTTCAGCAGTTTTACAACCAGACTAATACATTTTTATGTAACCATATAGTACAGTACTTTAGTTGACTCACAAAAGATGGATAATTCTCTCTCCGTTAACCTACTATTTTTTTTATTCCGGGCCGTCGACTGAGGCTCTAGTCGGTTGGAATCCTTTGTTGGCAAGTTTCTGGCGCCACCGCTGGGCCACAGCATTATCATTTTTTCAATTGTTTGTCCTTTAGCTAAGGAATGCAGACTCAAATATCTGAGCAAAACTTATGATTCCAGAAAAATCAGTTGCTTCAAATCACATTTGAATTCCCAACGAAGCCCCAGCCCAGGGGCGGACCCAGAGATGTCCGAAACGGGGGACGAAAGGGGGACGAAAGCGGGGACGGAAGTAGGACCGATCGAGATAACACCATACTAGGGGTCCGGCGGCCCAGCGAAAATTTTCTTTTCTAGACGTCCATTTTTTTCTTTTTCTTTCTTTCCCGCCGCCACCACCCAAATCCTCCCCTACCAGCGGCCCGGTTGGCTGGCGCCTGCAGATTAGCTTGTTGTGCACCCGAACCAATTGTGTAGGACCTACAATGGGCCGGCGTTTAGAGAGTTTGTCCAAGAAGTGTCCATTAACTGAAACCCAGAGTGAGATTCAAAGCCCAGCCAGTGATATTAAGGCTGTAGTAAACATCATACTATTGTAATGGAAAACTTTTTGTTCCGATCTCTGTGTAATAGGAAGTTTGCATTTTCTCTTTTCATCATCTGAGCAATTTAACACTTTGATTAATTTTTAAAGTACTTTTTAGATTCCACCACCGTTACTATCTCTTTAAATTAATACCTGTCTATGTTGCTTTCACTTCATTTTAATTAAACCTGATTTTGCAATTAACTTTTTACCTGCAGCTTTATGTAATGCATTAACGTTGACTTTACTATTGATGTTAATAAACAAACAAATGAACCGAAACTTAAAGAGCACTTAGGACAACGAATAATGATCTTGACAGATATTTTAAAGAAATTAATGAACCGTGGCACTAGTACCGTTACATATAAAATATCGCCGGTTTTCTGATAAAGACCTCATACAGTTGAAGTACTGTCAGGTGAACAGTTACAAAGGTAAGTTATTTCTTCACTGAGTATGCTTACTTTCTTTTAAACATTGCGTAGGAAACTAATCTACTTTAAACTAGACATACCTGAACTAAAACTTACCGAAGCGGAGCTCATTCCATCTCGGTTCTTGATGGTTGCGTGACATAGGTGAGAGGGAATATTCTCTCTTGGCAGCTATGAGTTATATAGAATAAGAGTTATATAAATATAGCTCCTAAAAATCTGGGGTCCTGTGTATGTTCAATATATATTGTTAAACAATGTATTTTAGGAGGACAGAAAAGCATGTATAAATCTGCGACAACTAAAATTTTGATCTGTTTTCATTGGAAATTTATAACAACTTTGATCTTATTACAGATTAATGTCATGATTGAAGAAGTTTAGCTTTTGACATAGGCAGACTGTGATTTAGTTATTTTCGTCTTTTGTTGTTAGGCAACCATGAGAGGCTTGGTGCTCTTTGCGATGGCGATGATGCTGGCTGAGGTGTACGCTACTCACTATCGTGGCGGTACATTCTACTGGGAAAAACTTGGAAAATCCAAGGTATGAACTTCATAGGCAAACATTAACTAGACGAATATTTAGGCATTAGATTAATCACAAAGGTTATATTAAATACCTATGTTCATTACAGAAGTAAAAGTTATACAAATAGTGAATTATCTTTTGTGTATTATTGCCAGATACTAATAAATAAGTTAATGTCATTTATGTGACCGTTCTGTGATATATATATAACTGGTTTTAGTAGATGTTTTTTTTCCAATAATCTTAGGCCTATATGTTATTATGAATGGTGAGAGTTATTAAAATTATTGCGTGCTATCTACCCTAGAGACCAATATGAGCATTTGAATTTGCCTTCAAATTTTCCACACACACGCCTGCACAAAAACGCCACCATGACAGTATGGGCTGAGGCATCATCATGTCACGGTACGCCACGGTGTTGCGTAATTTTAATTATTATTTAAATATTGAATCGGACCTTTTCGTTTAACAGATCCGAGTTCACTGGCGTCTTTCATTCCAACTTATCTATTACTATCCTGAGTACTATTGTACAGAAACCGGACAACATCTTATCGCCGAAAATCTTCTGGCTCTGACGTGTCTTGATTGTGCTTCCAACAAGACCATCTTAACACCACTGACATTGGAATGTACCTCAATTTCACAAGAGATGGGATGGAGTCTCCTCGATGGATACGTAGACTACCAAGCAGATCGCAAAGCATTTACAATGGGGTGGGTATTTGAACTCTAATTTTATAGTTCCCGCATGCTGGTGTTATTATGATAGAATGGTCCAGATCGGGCCAAAACAGGATTTTATCCATCACAACTGAAACAATTTCACTTCATTAGCCTCATAACAATTATAGAGCATCAAACAGTTTATTCCATCTTGCAAATTAAGTGGAGACCTATACTCAATTGTTGAATGAAATAAGTGTTGAAGTAATAATAATAATAATAGCAATACACCATTGGTCTCGTGTACAACATGACGTCAAGTATAACTTTATTCCAATTCAATTCAAACATCAAATAAAATAGTAAAATCAAGTAACAAAATTGAAGAACAGAGATGATAAATAGAAATGAAAAAGGGGACTTTCAAAAACAAGCCAAGCTTTTTCCCACGAAGCCCCGTACAAAAATGAAAAAGATCGACTAAACTACCTTAACTACAGGTAAAACTATACTCCACCATACAAAATCCCAATATATCTACAACAAGGTTTCGGAGTTAAAATGAAGAATATTATGATAAAAATATAAAGATTTACAAATTCTATTATTTAGTAATTCCTCAACGATCTTGCTTGTCACCTCTTTGTCCATAGAAATATCTTACTGTTTCAAACAATTTTTGGAATGATCTAGCGTCAATGGTACAATGGATTATGTCTAATTTGATAGAAGGCAGATACAACGCAATAGTTATTGCTTTACATTATAGAACATCAAAAAATTAAAAAAAATTCTACCTAAATTAAGATTTAATATATACATATTTGTGCTCTCTTTAAAGAAAAGTTCTTGATCCGTTTCATTTGTTTCCTTATTAATTATAATTATTTACATCATTACAAATACCGGTAGTTTAATAACTCCAGACTTAATCCATTCTTCACAATCACAAAACGATTCAGTATTTAATCCTGCAAAATCATTGTACATATGAACGAAAATTGAAATTGTCAGGTCTAGGAGACTCTCATTAAGATCAGAGATCCCAAGCATATCCAGCAAAATAATAGTAATTTTTTGAGAATTTGAAAACAAAACAAAAGTATTGTAAAAAAATATCTTCTTAAAATAAAATACAAAATTTCATCTTCATTTTTTGTATGTATAACAAGAGTAATGTAACCGCGTTCGTAGGCAATTCAGCACAATGGCACTGGGAGATACACCTATACCCTACCTTAGCTTTACCTTCTGATCTTAGATTTATGACGACAGGCCCGTGCTCTGACAGTAGTTGGATTCAGCTTCAAAACCACGGCTCGGGCAAGTGCTGGTCTCTTCTGACAACAGTTGATACCTCGAAACCAAATGACTCTCCAAAAGTTACAGCCGGGTTACCAGTATATAGAGTGAGGCATGGTTGTAGGCGACTTATTGACCTGAACCGTAAGTCAAGATACTTGTTTTGGTACTAAATACTTTAGCTTACATATACAATCAAAGTGATGCATTGTAATTATTAATGTTAATGTAATTCGCCTGACGTGAGAGTGAATAACGTCTTCCGATTGATTGAAGTTATTTGGGAAACGTTCTTAATTTTCTAAGTTGTAGAACTCGTTGCCTTTGCGCATTCGTGGATCTCCTTCGGTCACCGTCTTTAAAGCTCGATTGAAGACTCACCTGTTTGTTTCTTCTTAATTTTATTGTACATCACTATTTTATTTCCATGCCAGTGAGTTTTATTGGCTTTAATTAGTATAGGCCGAGATGGCCGAGACCCAACGAGTGCTGATCAGGATTCACTTAGATCAATCCCTGGTTAGCGACGGACCCGTATTCACATACTCTGTTGTTTGGGTGTTGTTTATTTTTTTTATATTCTCACATTTCCAAATATCTCTACATTTATTTCAGAACGCTTATAAACTTTTCGTATTTTGCCCTTTATAAATTAAAAACCATTAAACCATTATTAACTTATATTCTTCAGCGATTGATCCAAACAACGACCCTGTTAAATGTCGATGGGCAAATAAAGCTGAATGCCCCGAGGCAAGGGATAGTACCGATAATGACCCTGTATGTGGTCAAGCTACGGATTTGACAAAGCTTTACGAGGTAAAGTAACTTAGTTGTATTTATTCAAATACGATGACAATGGCAACAAAACGACCAAAGAGCAAATATTAAAAACATTTAACAGACAGTGTTTGTATATTAAAGAATTTAGAAATTTCAATTTTAAAATTAAGATGGCATATTTAGTATATTAATGAATAATGTCATTATTATCTTGATTATGTCTTTGTCGTTTTTATGATATGGGCCTAATATCATATAAATAAATGAAATTATTTGTTATCTATTTTATATTGTGTGCTGGTCAATACGACCTATATTCATATATAAAAAAATTGCTAAACAACAACTTTTAAGTTAAAATTTGAGTGTTTTTCTGGCCCTCCTCTCTTAACAGAAAGAGTGTAAGATTGAATTTATCACCGGAGAAGACGATTTGGAAGGATGGTATGGTGCGTCCGTAATGATTGAGGATTTTCCAGATACTAAGTTTAAGAAAGCAAAGAGTACAGTCCCATTCCAATTTCTCCTGGATGTAACTTCACGTAAGTGATACGGACTGTAGAAATGTATAGAGTCCTACCTATATGGCGCAAATCTAACCACAGGCACTTTCTGTCATGCAAATGATATAATTTTATTTCACTCAAAACGAAATGAGTCTGGTAGGCAAAACAGGGAACATGTCCCTGTACAAGATGCTTACCAGAGTGCTAGAGACACTTTTATTCATACAACAAAAAAGGATCTTTCGTTGAAAGGATATGCTTGATGCGATTATAACATCTTATGTTTCTATTTGAGAACTGCTATTATTATTTATCTAACTGTTTACATTGTGTTTACGATGTTATGCAGCTAAACTATCCATCAAGTGGACGAGTGTAATCAGCTCTGCTGACTACACGAAACACATTTGTAGTGGAATAAAAATATGAAGTTAACAACTTTACATTTCTTCCGTTAGTAGCTCTACTTGTATTTAGCACTCTCCTCTTGATGATCTTGAATCATATAGGGGCCTAGTTGTTTATATACTCTATATATGTATTTATATGTGTATATTATATATACATATACATATATGTATGTAGGTCTATGTACATGTATGTATGTATACTGTATATTGAACCTAAGATTTATATCTGTGAACTAGACCAATAATAGTATGTTTGAGTTTTAAAAAAATTGCTTGTTTAGCGAATCTTCACCCATGTGGGGATAATGCTAGATGTAGCTAATCGTCTTATCATCAAGGTATGGTCTTATCAAAGAAGTACAATGACATTAGATATTAGATTGTTAACATCTGTTGACTTTAAATTCAAATTGACAGCACACAAGATTCCTGCGCGGCTTTGGCTGTACTAATAACAACATCGATTTTTGTATAGGCCTAAACAAACGTTTGATATTTGTAAGTAAATGAGAGTTTAAATAAGACATTGGGGTGTTCAGTATGTTCCGTGTACATACATACCACAAAAACATCCAATAATAAATTGTTTCCGAAAAACCCTCTTTCGTTATTTAGCCGGATCATGCGTTGGGCCAGGGATCGATTTGGAAGAGTGTAGTTTTATCGCACCAGGTGAAACATGGGACAGCTTTGTAAGTGCTTCCATACAAGAGGGCTCAGACGCATCAACGTATGTAGTACACTTCTTGATTTTTCATTTTGTTTTTGCTATGTGAACGAGGTTATAAAAATAAAATTCAGTTTCCGTTCAAGTAAAATCGAAATAAATATCAAAGCTCTAAACTTTGGTCTTGAGCCAATGTTAGCATTTCATATTGATATGTAGCTAACTTGTATGGAAAACTGATGCTTGGTAAAATCTAACATAATCTCACCCATTAAATAAGTATACCCTTAAGTTAATGTTAAAGTTAAAGTTTATCTTCATTCCTCATGAATTTGTTCAAAGAATTGTAACATTTGTTTTGAAACTATGTTTATATTTTTATACCGTATATTCATCATCTGTCTTTGGAAAATTGTAAACATGACGAATAGAAGAAATCTTGAATCTTTAATATTTTAGACCTAATAGACATGTCTATCATTTAATGTGCATTTAAATGCCAAGGCTGACGGAATATTGAAACGTAATAAAATATCGTAACAAATAATTGTTTATATTTTAGAATAACTGAGATTCAAGGTAGTTATCCACTGGGAACGAAAATGTCATACGTAAAAGGTTTTGAACCAAGCAAAAAAATCGTCAAATCTAAGCTGTCGTTCACTCCGAAGGAGGAAGGAACCTACATCTTCAGCTTCACTGCTACTGACAATAACGGGTAAAATTTAAAAATGTATTAATATTGCACAAAACTAAGCGTACACCTTCTCCATAGAACTCGGTTGAGATACAAAATTGATAAGCAAAAGCTAAAATACTTCAGACACTTCATAGACCTTTATTTATAAATTGATATGTATAATATATACAGTATTATTGTGGAAGATAATTATATTATCTGTCTTCTTATTCGTTTATATAATTTCTATAAAGAAATAACTTGTGAATTTTCATTCATTTATATAATTTTTACTTTTTTATAGAGTTCAAAACGACCCCAAGTCTGCACGCTTGATTGTGTCATGTAAGTTGTATATATTTAAAAAAATTTGCTTATGAATTAAAAAATAAAATTAAAAAATAATATATCTACCTTTAGATACAAAATGATATAATTTTTTTTTCAGCTGAAGGAATTGACCTAAAAGAAAACGTGAGCCCACCTAATATCATGTCGGACCTTTCAACACCATCCACTAATTCACTGTACGAAGGAACGGATGAACTGTGGACTATCAAATTCGATTCACCGGTATATAAACTATGAATGTTTGAATTTATAATCTATTTCGTATTATACCTATTATTTGATTTATTCGGTGGAATAGCACATGAGTGAGTTTTCGCAGTGAGAATCATTCCACTGGATGCGACAATGTTACATTGTTTATGGGAGGCGGTGGGATGCACAAGTTTTTCAACGTGTTGTGTTGTTGTGTAGGCTTCGGGCATGTGAAGTTGAGACTAAGAAAAGGCTAATTCATAGAATTTTAATACTGATATAAGCCTAAGTTATATCTATTATCATGATGTATCTTATGCTTATGCCCATATTGATTAAGAATGTTCATTGACTGCGTATATCCAGGCTTCCTTAACACAGCAACATTTTTTTTTTAAATAAATTCGCAGGTTACCCGTCCTACGAAGAAAGCTTTTATTAAGATTCAAGATATGGCCAACATGGAAGTTGTTGCCAAGTTCAATGCCCTTGATTCGAATGTGGTAACATTCCCCGAGAGTGATCCAACAATTGTTCGTTACCCTGCACCAACTGGACTTGAGGGAGGTAAATCATATCTGGTAAATATCGATGAAGGATTTGGTGTCAAAGTCTTTACGACGCCCTGTGGAAAAAGTGCCATGGCAGCCAGTGACACTGGCATTTACAACTTTCAGATCCGTAAGTAGTAAATTATAATAATTATTATAATTGCTGGAAGTAGAACCGTCAGCAACGTATTTAGGGAGTGCACGGAGAAAGTGCATATCCTCCTCCCTATCCCCAATCAAATGAACAAATGAAATCGCGGCTCCTGTTTTCCCCAGTACTGGAAATTTTTTCGAAGCCAAAAATTACGCTCTGTTAAAAATTACCTTATACCACTATATTCTGCTAGCTCCTCACTTTATCATCGATCCCTCCAATTTCACACCCCAACACTTATTTCAATACCCTTAAGATACTCTACTGAAATCTGTCTGTTGCAAAAGTCTAGATAAACTGTAAATAATTGAATTAAACATTTATTCCTGCATAATTAGTTAATCTATGGGTTTAGCCCAAAAAACGAAATAGGCCGTCCAAAATGAAAGCCAGTGGACGTGGCATTGAGCCGATGGGCGGTTATCAAATATTTTGCTGATTCACAAGTTTCTTTGCTACGAAATTCCAAATCAGTTAAATTTACTGGTCTATGGAATGAATATTGTTCTAGTTTTATGCCTCTGTTAATTCGTTATTAATATGTTATTTAATATTTAAATGAAATCTATTAATGACATTCCTAAATATACCAAATAAGCAATTTATTTATTACATTTTATTGTGTGTTAGATCAACCTTGACAGTTTAACTTAAAAGGGAATATTATTTTGGATTGGATTGGATTTATTCGGTGTAAACATCAAGGATAGCCCACGAAAGTCTAGAAGAAGAGTTATTTCCAGTGGGGTACTTGTGGTGATTGGGCAGTACACCGGGAGACAATCTCCTACTCTTTTCCGAAGAGTGTACTGAGTTCTTTAACGTGCACATGAGCCATAAATGCACACGGGACCAACTGCTTAATCGTCTCATTCCTAAGGCGGTGCGCTATTGTAACTTGTATTTCAGTCCTCCAGCTGAAACACATAGAGAAGCAGCGATGGATGTGTATAAGAGACAGATATATATATATATAAATTTATTTATTTAACCCAGTCGTTTTTTCGTGTACTAGTTTAATCATTTTTAATGTTCTGTATCACCTTTGTTCAACTTCAATTTGATTCCTTACAGTATCTTATAGCAATAATAGTATTTTGTATTTCGTATTTCGAGTATGTTGTGACTAATAGATATTTATACTATATTTTGTAGCAAAACCACCTGAGCCCGAAGTTGAGTGTGGTGATTCTTATATCACGGTACGTATTCCCAAAGCCTATGTGGGTAACGTTCCAGCAAGCGACCTTCATCTCCACGACACAAGATGCCGGATTAAGGAAAGTGATGATATATACTACCAAATTCAGTTTGGTTATGATGAATGTGGAACCATTATTAAGGTACTATTTCAAAACATTAACCTATTTTTTCAATAGTTTTAAGATATTTAACATGGTAGTTATTGCGTTTACATTTAAACACACCAGTGTTTACCCATTTGCCATTCGGAGCATCGCAAAGTCTTTAAGGTCGTAAGTGGAAGACATCCTGCTAATCTTTTTTATAAAATTATTCTAAAACTTGTCTTCAAGAATCTTAACATGAGTATGACTTTAATAGTAAATATAATATCTGAATGGTATAATAAAAAGCATGTATACAGTTGTAATAATCAAGTTATAAATCCTGAACATCAGTATGCAGCCTGTAAAAGGCCTTATTTATGCAGGGATAATTATATATATAATACATACGGTAATATCACACACATTGGATGTTGTTTAACTTTTGATTATTAAAGTTGATATGCATGTAGGGAGGATGTATTTAAAGTAATGGTTTATGATACAACATTATAGAACGACATATTAATGTCACTTCTAATTGCACCTTGTTCTTTTCAAAAAAGCATTTTTTTTATATGGTTTCATCGAAGCATTATAATAGATATAGTTAATGAACCGTGTTCTAAAGTGTTATTTGCCTGTTGTTTTAAAAGGAATAATAATTTGAAAATAACGTAAGGAATTTTACCATACTATAACATTCTATTTCATAACTATTGTTTTTATATATTCTATCTGATTATTTTATATTGCGTGTACATTGTTGGAGCTCTAATAGCCTCTCCTTATCCCCACTTCACAAAAATGTAATTTACTTTATACTTCCTATTCTTGTCCTATGTTTTTTCTGCAGTATATCCTGGTTGTATGTATTTATTGTAAAAGATTAATGTTTTACCACGCATGGCTATATTTATATCCATCATTTTTGTAGTCAATGTTTTATTACTGTTTGAACAGAAAGTATAGCTTAATTTGGTAAAATTAACAATTAAGACTTTTGATCTATATTATTTTAATTTTTTAGAGTTCTAAGAAAACAAAGACTAAATTCTACAATACTATTCGAGACGATCCTAAACCAATCTTCCCAGGAGCACCTGTAACACGTGCTAAGCACAAGGTGGAGATGCAGATCATTTGTGAAATGACGGGACTTGGCGTTTCTGATGTCTTTTTTAAACCCTCGGCCTCTGTCAATCCCGAGAAGTACAAATCTTCTGGAGAGTTCAAAACTTATCTTACAATGTATGAAGACTCCGGCTACAACAATGCTGTCAGTGGGACCGAAGCAGTGGATCTGAAGCAAACTCTCTACTTTGCTGCTCAGAGCACTTCTTCTAAAGATGTTGCCATCGAAAGCTGCAAAGCAATGGCTAAATATGGAACATGCACAGAAAGTGACAAGAAGTACACATTCATCGAAAATGGGTTTGTATATGTTTTTCTCACTGAAACCGTAAGCTCCATAATCGTCACATTGTACACTAGTGACTTCATGAAAACCAGGATTTATTGTACACAGTGTCGACAAATTCGACAATGTTACAACTAGACATTTGTTTTCCTTTTTATTATATTTCATTTATTACATTGTTTTTAATCATCATTATTATAAGCTCCAAGTACACTTTTTTAAAAAATTACTGTCCATTTGTATAAAAAAAAATGTTCAATTCTATAGTAAAAAATCATGTCATTAATCTACATTAATTAAACTATCAGAACAAAACCACACATTATTAAAGCAATTTTGATTATTGTCAATTTAACACAATCTCTCTCAATGTCGTAGAGCCGCGTCACTTTACCGTCCGTATCTCTATCAGCGTCGTAGAGTCGCGTCCCTTTACCGTCCGTGTGTATCATAAATTTTATTGCAACGTTATAAGTGAGGCCTAGAGATTACATCGTCACAGGGCAAAAAAGTGCTATCATTTAACTTGATAGTACTTTTTTCCTCGAGAATTTATGAACTATTATTCACACCTACGTCATAAGAGTGATGGTTGAAGTGGTTACCCACTTTTTAACCAATCAGATGCCTATAATTTATACATGCGGTATATAAAAGAAATAACTCATTAGTTACGTTATTTAAGTCTGAAAGATGACATACTCTCTGGCATTCTGATGACACACTGATACACTCCGTACTCTGACGGAAATCCTGTAATGGTCACTTCAACAGCAGTACATGATGAAATTGTAATTATTCTTTTTTTTTCTAGTTGTGGTGTCGATTCATCGGTTAAATTTAGCTCTTCTGGTTTGGATCATCGTTTTGAAATCAATTCATTTGGATTCCTGCAATATGGTTTAACCAATGAGGTAATTTTTATTATGATATAGTAATGTTCATTAAACTATATAGATGCATGATATTGATATTATATTCGGTTATGTGATTTTAATAAAATAAGTAATTATAATTTGTTAATGTTGATATAAAACATCGATTTTTTTACGAATTAATTCCATATATCTAAACCATCCCATATCATATCATCCGTATTATTATCACAAATAAAATAATGTATTGATATTGTCAATGTCGTTAAACTGAAAATATTAGATATCAAAGTAAGCATGAATTACTGTTCTTAACTTCAGGTTTTTGTGAAGTGTAAGATGGTATCGTGTAAGCCTAATACCAACTCGCGTTGTAGTGAAATCAAGAGTGGAAACTGCTCTAGACGTCGACGAGCAAGCTCATTCGAAGAAGAAACCGACACATTCATGACATTCAGAATGCTCTAGGTAGCAGAATAAGCAAAAAGTATATTAAGGAAATACAGATACATGAACGACATAGAAGATGAACTGGACATCACATAACTAAAATAAGTTTATTATACTAACTTTCATACCACAGCGGTGCTCTTCAGGAGACTGGCATAGTCTATAGTGTGTTGAAAAATCAAATGTGTGGATGAGCTATGCTATGATGCTTGCTGTAATAAATTAATGTTAGTCTTTTCTTTGCAACTCTTGTTTGGCTTAATTGAACTATGACTGCTACAATGATTTAAATTAATGAATGAAACTGATGAAGTATTGTTATCATCATTACGGCGATAACTGGATGACAAATGATTATCAACATAAAAATTAGACTATCTTACCTAACCTCGGACTTATTTAACATCGTAGCTGACTCTGTCTGTATCTAGGTAGCATCTTTTATTTCTGTTTTATGTAAAGTTATTAAAATGGTTGCAGAATTGAAAATGCCTTTTTTTCAGTTAGTGTTCCATAGCGGCGTACTCTCACACTCTACTAAAACTGCTTTCACAATATAATCATGTCCTCGCATTGACTGCTTTCCAGAGCAAAATGTTGATACGGCATAAAGCTAATAAATTTTGATTAGCTTATCATTGTATTAGCTCAGAAAAGACAATAAATAAGAAAGTATATCTGCAAATAAGAATACCAAACATGCAATAAAAATAATCACTTATTCAAATTACAAATCAATAAATGTGTATATGCTGTATCTATATAGGCCTGGTGAATAAACTAACCACATAAAACAACATTTCAATACCAATTTTCACAAATGTTTTCCATAACGCACAAACAAAATGCACATTATTTTAATACAGTAGAACCCCTTCTTTGGGACACCCATATTAAGGGGACACTTTTCCGTAAAACGACTGGCAATATATATTTTAACACTACGGCCAACCCCTATTAAGGTGACTGGGACACTTTCTGAGTGTGTCAAAGGGTTAAATAACCCCACCAGGTACCCATTTACTCCTGGCTGGAGGGAACCCATGGGTCCTCATGGTTTAAGTGTTGCTGCTGGTAAACATCTCAGAAGTAGGCAACCCCATCAGGTACCCATTTACTCCTGGGTGGAGGGAACCCATGCAGTGATGGTTAGATGAAATTGGGAGGGCATGTACCATACAGACCTGTATGGTCTACCTACTGCCCCAACCCGCTTCTACAACATATAAAACTATTGTTCTTTTAATTTCATTTGTGCTGATGATGATGATGAAAACATGCCAAAAACCTTATTAAGGGGACAATTTCAGTTTTTTGGTTTTTTTTAACTGGACTTGTCTTCGGCCTTTGATACTGTGAACCACCAACGTCTATTACATCGATTAGAGAAAGAATTTGGTATTAAAGGAACTGTATTAATCTGGCTGTCATAATATCTTATTGGACGTAGTCATGTCTCAGTCAAGGGGTCTTCACCTTCACATTCAGTATTGTTATCCGGTGTCCCCCAGGGTTCCGTTACTGGCCCTCTCCTCTTCTCACTCTATACTGCACCCATCATAATATTGCTCTTGCACATAGTGTCAAATGCATGGCTTATGCCGATGATATTCCTCTTTATGTAGATTGTGAACAGTCTAAAATTAACTCCGGATTGCAGCAGATAACTATATATTTTTAAGCCATTCAAACATGGTCTCATGAAAACAGTCTGTTCCTTAATAACCACAAAACTCAATTTATGCATATATTTCCCAAATTTAGCTCATCGAAACCTATTGAAACTGTTACCCTAGGAAACGCTACTATTGCAGCTTCAAAATACGTTAAAATTCTTGGAGTTACGTTTGATCAGTTTATGCTTATGTCACAACAAGTTGATTCAATCTGTCAGTCCTCTCAAATAGCTATAAGACAAATAAGTTCCATAAGACAATATCTTGATAATGCGATTATTGAAAAACTTGTATACGCTTCTTCTCGATTAGACTCTTGCGTCTATTAATAATTATACGGCATTCCAAAATCAGATACTAACAAACTTCAACGAATTTAGAATACAGCTGCCAGAGTTATTACAAAAGCTAAAAGACACGAGCACATAACACCAACCCTCAATGAGCTCCATTGGCTTACAATTGAAAAACGCATCCAGTTTAATATAATGTTGTTGACATAAGGTCGAACTTTCAATGTCACCAACTTATCTTTTGGAACTCATTCCAGATTATAAACCAACGAGGTCACTTCGTTCGTCCACCAATATTTTTTAAATAAAAAACAAGTACAAAACTGTAACTTATGGTAGTTGTTCATTTTCTGTAGCCTCACCTCATTGTTGGAATCTGCTATCTGGTCCCATTAAAAATGCCTACACTGTTAACACCTTTAAGTCTAGGTCAAACACGTTTATTCGTAGCTCTTAGTTAAGGTTAGGAAAAGTGAGAATCGGAAAGAGAAAAAAAGAAATGCAAGGAAAATGAAAAAAAAGAAAATTGAGAAGAAAGGTAAATTATACCGGAAAGGAAAGACAGAAACAGAAACAGAAACAGAAGGAAATATAAAAGGTAATTAATAAGAAGAGGTAAGGAAATAAGCAGATAGCAATGGAAAGGAAGGAAAGGAAATGAAAGCAATTAAGAACAACGAAAAATGAAGTACATGAAAAGGAAAGAGGAAAAAGGAAAAGAATGTTAATGAAAAGTATGATGAACTAGAAAAGAAACGAAGGAAAAAAGAAAGGAAAAAGAATAGAAAGATTAAGAAGGAAAAATAAAAGAGAAAGAAAGAAAAAGAATGAAAGCGAAAAGGTAAAAAACGAAAAAGAAAAAGAAAGGGAAAGAAAGAAAAGAAAAAGAAAAGATAATGAACTGAGAAGAGAAAGAAAAACGAAAGGGTAAAGAAAGGAAGAGGAAAAAACGAAAAGGTAAAGAAAGGGGAAAAAAGAAAACGAAAAGAAAAGAAAGAACAGAAAAAAGAAAGTAAGAAAGGAAAAGAAAAAGAGAGAAAGCGAAAAGGTAATGAAATGAGAAGAAAGAAAACGGAAGGGTAAAAGAAAGGAAAATAAAAAAGGTAAAAAAGGAAAAGGAAAAAAAAAGAAAGAAAACGAAAGGGAAAGAAAGAAAAGAAAACGAAAAAAAAGGAGGTTAAGTAATAGAAAAAAAACAAAAAGATAAAGAAAGAAAAAGAAAGAAAGAGAAAGAAAAGAATAAGAAATGTGGAAAGGAAAGAAAAGAAAAATTTAAGGTAAAAAAAAAAAGGCCGGTGGGAAAACGAATTTCCAAGACAGTGGTGCACGGGGCGAGATATTGACCTTTTCGGAGTGTCGAGATTACGCACTTATGCGTAAAACACATAAGCCTGGTTCTCACGAGAGCCCTAGTATCCGGATCGGGAGCTAACCGTTAGCGCTAACCGTTAGCACCTGCGTGAGAACGCCCGATCGGTTAACGCTTACCGTTAGCAGTATCCGGATACCGTTAACGGTTAGCAAGCGCTATCGGGTAGCAAGTTGAGCGCGTTTTTATCATCAACCAATCATACGTACGCGTTTACAATTTTCAGATTCTTATTGGCCAGTGATTCGATCATCATATTTTTTATATCCGGATTGGGATTTTTTCGTATTGGACGCAGGGCAGTTAACGGTTAGCAGGATCCGGATCCTGCTAACCGTTAGCAGCAGTGTGAAAACATAGCCATAATCTAAGCCTATTTAAAACACACGTGCGGAAAACACGCGTGTTCGTGGCATAAGCACTAAAATTACGTACTTATGCACAAACACGTGTTTTCCGCAAACGCACATGTTCACGTACGTTTAGGCTATTTTTGACACATACGCCGATATAATGTTAAGGCAAAAGGACAGCCAGGCACGATAGATTCCTTAAAGTATAAATACCTGAAAAGGGAATAATAAGCCAGGCGGCAGTCTCGCAATGTCACTGACACTACCGGGTCAGTTAAACAACGTAGTCGAAATTTCACTAGATCACCTGTCGCTTTGCTTGGTCTATGCAGTTGCGGGGATATTATTAGGAAAAACACTACAATGCACTGCATCCAGCATTGCAATGGACCTTTCCGCTAAGCCCCGCCCCTTGGATATTGTTGCTAAGGTCCCACAGGGCGACAGTGTTAAAACATAGGCGAACACGTGCGTTTGTGGGACAACACGTGTGTTTGTGAGACTTGCGCGTATTCCTAGCGCTGTTCTGATTAGTCAGTTGTTAAGTTTGATTGACACTCCGGAAAGGTCTGTTAAACAGGCTACCAAGTAACAAGTAAGTAAGTAAGTAACTGCAGTGAAACCTGTATTAAATTTTAAAAGTATTTAACTAACAGCTTGGATGTATATCCATTAATCTTGGTAGTAATCAATTGTAAATTTAAGCCACTATATATATATATATATATAAATATCGTTTTTATGTAACATAATATAGAGTCATTCGGTAGTTCGATTAGATAGATTTAGTTTTCATAAAACATAATCTATTTTTAAAAAACGAGCTCATTTAAATTGATTGATTGATTAAATTTGCCGTTTTTCCATATGTTGGCAGTGATAAAAGGTGACTTGTTTGCAAAATTTTAACATTTCGAACTGAAAAATAGGTTGGCGCTATCTGCACATCTTTGATTCTGCAAGACGTGACTAAAATAAACACACTTTGCGATTGTGTTTCCTGCACTGGCAGATTACAGGTAGTTTCCACTTTTCTTGTGTAAATAGGTCTATGTTATAGGTTAAAATAGTTTGATGTCCAAAATAGATATACATACTGTAGGCCTAGATCCACATTTTGTCGGATCCTAACCCTGTCTCTTATACACATCTAGATGTGTATAAGAGACAGTATATATATATATCTGTATATAATGAATTTTATATGTACATATTTAATCAGTTTCTCAATATATAAAATCAATGTTGATATAATAGTGTTTATATATAAAATATTGTTTGAAGGTGTACATTGCAAAGTAATCATATATATTAATGCTTGCGGTACACCGCGTAGAAAAGAACTGATGTTGTTTGAGAATGTCTCAATGTTTTGATTAAGTTGCTTCAATTGTCTTCAGGGGAATAATATCTGCAAACAATTCCAAACAGTAATATACTTATATGTTTGGGTAGTGAGGCTTGCTACTGATTGGTAGAAAACTAAACAATAAATGAGATAGGCCTAAATAATAATGATAACAGTGCTCGAATAGGAAAATGTTGTAATAATCGTATAAGCATGCTTATTAACGAAACGTTCCTTTATATATAACTGCATCACGTTTTATTTATATCATTTGTCAGTTAGTTGGTTCCGGCATACACTATGTCAATCATGCGCTTGCTGGTGTTTATGGTAATGGTTTGTGTGCTTCTACAAACTGTTCAAGCTCTACATTACCGCGGCGGAACATTTTACTGGAAGAGGATCACCGATAAGAAGTTAAGTCACTAATAACAATTACTTTAATAATACTTGTATCTTAATTGTATTATTGGGCCGTCGGAGAGCATAAATGCTTTTATGACCCACATTGCTTCAAGTGACGATACTACTAATTTTTGTTGAAAGGGCTACGATACATCGTCCGTGCGCAAAGTCTATACCTTATATTTGTTTCATTTAAATTATACATATTTTCCATGGGAGCTTAAATAACTATTTAAAAAAGTCTATTCCCAACTTCAAGAATTACGTTTCAGTAGTTAACTAGGGATGCATGCATTGGCATTTTTTAAGTTCAGAGGGTATCGGGGAAAAAATCAAATTAAAAGTAAAGGAACAAAATCCGATATATTCGGCTTATGTTATAGAGTCTATTTTAATTAATTGACAGTTGTGAAGACAACTGAAAAGAAAATGAAGAAGTTCTGGTTCAAGAAATGACAAAGTGGTGAAATAATTAAATTCAATTTAAAGAACATTGGCTTCATTTAACTGGATACACACTGTGTAATGAGTACCAGTACGCTCGAACAATAAAATAATATAAAGTTTCACTTTCATTTTTCACAGGTGAAAATTTTTTGGCGCCTGTCTTTTCAAAAAAGTGAAGGAACGTACCCGTGCCACAACGTAGGCGATAAAATATTTGCTGAATACTTGAATATTTTGAGATGCAAAACGTGTGTATATGACCAAACTATCATCCAAAAGCTTCCATTGACATGCATATCAAGTAGCACAGAAAACGATTGGAATCTGTTTGAAGGCTCAATGACATATGAAGCTGAAAGTAGTACCTTTGTAATGAGGTAAATCAAATGGCTCTTCTTAAAGTGGAATTTACATATTTTCCCATTCTCAAATCCTTAAGTACATTTCCCTATTAAAAAGACTGTCTTTCTCAATGCAGTTTCTTTAGAAATTTGAAATTACTCTTCCCCTCTAATGTTATTAAAATAGAGTTAGGAAATAACTTACCTCTAAAACTGATTTATAGTGTCTTTGAAGGCTTTAAAATTTCTGCTTCTTACAGCAGACGCGGAGGATCCTAACCTTCCCACCGTTGATGAAAGTCAGGCTGAGATAAAATATTTTCAAATATATAACGTGATTGCAGCTCCTGGTGGTCTGGCAAATTTTAACTCTCCCCTTCTTCAGAAATGCCATCTGCCTCCGCCAAAGACAAAAGATATAGATAAAATAAATGCAATACTCTTTTGTATTGTCTAAATAATTATAAATTATTAAGAGACTGTAATTAAATCGGTGACGCCCTGGACCTATTGTGATAACGTACGCTGTTGATTTTTGTATTTTATTATTTTCACAATGTATGGTTAATCAAGAACAATCACAGAATGTGTGTGTTGATTCTTATAGACTTATTAAAAGAATATAAAATTTTATCATATCTTGTTGCTTCTAAATCCCACTAAAGCGAAAATATATTATTTTAACTATTGAATTGGGTAGCCTATTTATAGACCTAGAGCTTAAAACTTACTAACAGACTTAAAAGGTAGAATTTCATATATCTAATAATAAAAAGTCAAAAATAACCACCGAGCACTGAGAGACTGCAAATGAATACGTTATTGAAAGAAGAGCAACAACAGTAACGGTATGTAAATGTCAAATCGAACAGCATTGGAAGTAGAAAAAGAATTTAAAAACAATACTTAAAAATTGAGACGATATCACATTAAAAATAAAATACTGTGTTATAATAGCCAGTTAAATTATTTCCAGGCACGTACAGTATATCCAGTAGGTGGGGTATGAGATTGGTGCGCTCGCACCCAACTAATTTGAAAGGCCCACATTTTCATGACAAAAAGTACTGGTACTGAATGAAGAATTTTGGGATTTTTTTGTGATTTAAAAAAAAAACAACTTAATTTTTTACATTTTAATTAATAATCTGTTGCTAGGCCAGCAATATTAGGGATTTGTTAATGCCGTAACTGCATCCAACCGGCATAGAATAATTAAAATTATCAAGGTCCCAGACCTAAATATCTCTAAAAACTTATGAATAGATCTATATGAAACTTTTCAGAATATTTTTTCATGGTCCAATAAAGAAATTATTAAATTTTGGTAACGATCCAGTGTTATGTGTGGATGTGGGGCCCATTAAAAAACCCCTCCCATACCAGATATTTCAAAAACGGATAAACTGATCTGAATGAAACTTTCGGGAAAGTTTAATCATGTTAAAGGAAGGCATTATTTAATTTAAAGAATATTATTGGACAGTTAATTAAATTATATAAATGCAATTTAAACCAGCTGCAGCTAGGTTAAACGAAAACAATTACCGTGATATGCATGAACAATTTTTGCTTTCAATCACTGAATCGCTATGAACGAAAACGCAGGACCCTCTCATATGGTTATCAGTCTCCATATCGCCATCGTAATTACCACTGCAGCTATAGTTTGAGTCTTACTAACGTCGAATTAGTTTCACTGAATTTTTTTAACTATTTTTTTCGAAATAGCCTCTGTTTTTGTCCTAATATATTTTTTCTTCTTCCATCCCGTTTTCCTAATGTTTTGCTCAAAGTTTTTCTGACCGGCACTTTGGGGCACTTTCCGTGCTTGAATTTTCTTCAGACATTGTCAAAGCAAAGACCATATCAACGATGTGCATATCAAAATATGACATCATTCTACATACATTAAAAATTAATAGACATTGTAAGTCTAGTTATTACTATTATTATTAATTATCGACATTGTAAGTCTAGTTATTACTATTATTATTAATTATCATTATTAATATTATTATTACCCTCGCCCCACGAAGTGAGGTGAGGGTATTGCAATGAGTTGCTTAGAAAAATCAAGTTATCTAGTTGCTCCACTTGCACGTCTTTGTATGTATATTTATATATACGTGTGTGTGTGTGTGTTTATATATATATATATATATTGTTACTATTAATATTATTATAATGCAGCATTCTTTTTGTGTAGACTGCAAAATCTGAATCTAAGCAGACAATGCAAAGCTCAGTTGGCTATTGTTGTGAGAATTTTTGCTGGAGGCAAAGCTCACCTGTTTATTTAAATCAGTTGGCTATTGTCACTGTTATTTGTTAGTTTGACTTGCCATTGTGTACGCTGCTAGTGTAGCAGTATGTTGCACATTCAGTATTTTAGCTTTCCAGTTGCGGCTATTGTTCCCCAATCCAGGTAGGGATGTTTCTGATTTAACTGTATTTATTATTTATTTACTCTAGCAGTTACTATGCATGTATGTCTATTTAAACTGTAGCTGTATGGCCAAAACTTTAGTTTAATGTTAGAATTGAGGTAGGCTGAACAATACAGTTAGGAGTTAGGACAGTTTTTACGTTATATATTTATATAATACATTTATAATTTATATTTTATAAAATATATATTTTATATAATATATAAATTTTTATATAATATATATTTTTATATATTGTATAATTGTTAATATATATAATTGTTTATATAATATATACTTTTTATATATTGTATAATTGTTATATAATATATATAATTTTTACATATCATAGGAAAAATATATACTATATAAAAATATATAAAGTATATATTATACAAAATATAATATATTACTTTAAAAAAAAACCGAAATGAGACACATTGCTGGTGAAATCATATTGATATATGCACCAAATTAGGTCAAAGCCAAAATTCACCTGATACATAGCCAATAATATTATACCCCTACAATACAACAACAACAACCAGCGGATACAAAGATATGGAGTGACAGCAGGGCGAGGGTTTGTAATCTCAGATTATCTTGTTGTTGCTGTTGTATTATTATTATTATTATTATTATTATTATTATTATTATTATTATTAGTATTATTTCCATTATTAATATTATTCTGTTTTTCTATATATATTAAGGCAGTTTAAATGATAATCATTTAGGCCTATAATATATTTTGTATATTCAGCTATGAAACAGAAGGGCGTTGTACAGACAGCAGTTGGTTATATCTTCAAAATTTTGGATCTGGAAGGTGCTGGAACCTGTTAACTCAAGTTGACTTGTCGATTACCAATGATTCTCCCCGGGTAGTGGCTGGTATTCCTCTCCAACGTGTCCGACAAGGCTGCGAAACGTTGATTGATCTAAAACGTAAACCAATTTAAACATTTTCAGAATCAAAAATCATATACTGTTCCACACACAAACAAGATATTTGAAAAAATCTCACACACCAACACACGCATGGGCCTATACAATGATAAATGATGATGAACACATTTTTGAGAAGGACCTACTGTCCTTATCAGGATTCGAACTTAAGTTGCTTCGATTACCGTTCTCACCTGAGATATAGGTCAAGTGGTATAGATATTGCTTTTTGATTTTCCCATTAGAACACGTTTTTTCTCAAGGGTATACGCAATGAATAATGATAAATCCAATCCCATTGATTAGTTTCCTCTATTCTATACTCACCTTTTTTATTTACTTTTTTAAAAATTTATTTCATCATTCCTATCAAGCAAACAGTTATACAAAATGCTTTTCTTTTACGGTTTGCCTAACTACTGTTTATTAATAACAGAATATTTAGTTAATTAAGAGAAATGAACTCACACAGTTTAAATACTGTGACCTTCTAAAACGTTCGGTAATTTCTTTAAGTTTTTCAAAATTGATAAAAAAGAAAAAGATAAATTGTTTATTACAATAAGCAAGTAAAGCAAAGGCAGCATGTAAATATTCTTATATCATAGGCTACATTGTAATAAGAATAATTCAATAAATAATTTAAGAAGAAACGAGTGGGCTAGCATTGCTAAAAATAATTATGTTAATTCACTTGAGAAATTATTTATTATTAATCTATTACCTGTATCTATAGGCCAATGCAAACCATTACAAATATATGTGGAATTTTACTATTTTTTAAAGCGCTTATCACAGAATCTTACAATAAGTATCCCATCTTTGTTTTAAAAATAAGCAATTTTGTTACGTTAGCATTTTACATTTGTTTTTTGAATGATTTTCGACGAACAGCTACTGATCCTAACGGTGATATTATCAGATGTCGTTGGGCGGATCCTAGCAAACAGAATCCGTCAGAATGCCCTGGCGACGCCGGGAATGCTCGTGTTTGTGGGAGTCCAAGTGAAGAACACGCCGAGATATTCGAGGTAAAGTCATATTAAATTGGTCAACTTCTAGAATAAATTGAAATAGATATTAAAGAAAGAAATGAAATTAATTAGAAGGAATGGGAAGTGGAAGAAGAAGAGGCGAGTTATAGTAAGAGAGACAAAAGGGGAGAAAGTGAAACACAGCTATCCATGTTTGTTTTAGGTTTTACGTTTCTGCTTTTTACAGGACACTTGCAAGATTAAATTCCAAGCAGAAGGGGCACTGATTGGTTATTATGGAGTGTCGGTAATGATTGAAGATTTTGACGAAGACGACCTTCATACACCAAAGAGCACTGTACCGTACCAATTTTTAATTCAAGTCACTGAACGTTAGTACAATATCTCGACATTTTTTAATGTGCCTATGTAGGAAAGTGATAGCATCTCCCTGACATAACATTCCTATTGTTTATGTACTAGACAGTTATAATCATTCTTGCAATTAACAACAACAACAGCAATATCATATTATTATTATTATTATTATTATTATTATTATTATTATTATTATTATTATTATTAGTGTAACGTTTTGGTGTTTTTCGTGTTTGGTGGCGGTCCAAATGTTAAGTGTCGTGCGTGCTTCTTGTGTTAAACAGCCGCACAGATCTAAATGGCAGTTACATGGATTGTTAAATATGACCCAAGAATAAGGTGATTACATTTTGGTGACGACCCGGAGTAGGGTGTGGATATAAGAACCATTTAAAGGAAAACGTTCCAGACCAGATATTTAAACTAATCAACTGATATGAATGAAAACTAAGAGAGAAAGTGTTCGGTGTGCATGTTAGGGCCATTAGATCCCAGACCTGAATATCTCAAGAATGGATCAATGGATGAAAATGACAATTAGCAAACTACTTTGTCATGTTTTGATAAAGAAATATTGCAATTTTGGTTACGATCCAAAGTAGGGTGTGGATATGAAGACCATTTAAAAATATCTTTACCGTATTACCGTAGGCCGAAACAATAGTTATATGATGAATATTTAAAGTGCAACTGTAGGTGTATAGCGTTTTAGTAGTAGTAGTAGTACGGTAGTAGTACTCGTGGAGGTGGTGGTGGCAGTAGTATTCGTAGTAGTAGTTGTGGTGGTGGTAGTGGTGGTACTAGTTGTATAAGTATTAGTAGTATTTATCAACATAATAGAAAAGCATCATGACTACATAATTAATATCGTCATAAATACAATTTTCTTATTTTAATTCATTAGCTCTATCAATTATTATTACTATTTTTATTACTAATATCGTTATCGTATACTTCTCATTTCTATTAAGCCTAAATAGGTTTTGGTGTTAAGTTTACATATTGTTAAAAAGATTAATCAGTCACGTTATACTTTATTATCATTTTCAATATTATAAAATCGTATACATTGTTCTTCTACATTAATTGATGACAATCAACTATAATAAAAGATCACGTAACTTATTTTCAATGTTTTTATTATTTTATTATTCTGAGCACTTTCAAAGCTTTTAAACCATTTAACCAATGTTGTCACACAATGTCTTAAAATGTTGACACTTTACCCCATTTCTGTTTTACTTTTTTAGTGGTTTTAAATGTTTAGTCTTGATTCTGGCGCTATATAAATTCCATGATTGAATGATTAATTGATTGATTGAGCATTGATTTTAAGTATCACTTTATAGCTTTGTCTTAGTTTTGTATACACGTCTATTTTTTAAGTGTGTGGTTTTATGTTTTATTGTGAATGCACCACATGACGTGTGGATATCAAGTAATAATTAAGCACGAAAAATGAATACAGCATAATATATACTGTATACTGACTCAATAAGAAATTGCATTCATATCAAATTAATTTCTATGGTTTCAGTTGTTTTTTGTATTTTTCTTTAGCCGGATCATGTGTCGGGCCTACCGTAACATTAGATGAAGACTGTGCGATTATAAAACCCGACGAATTGTGGCAAGCTATAGTTACTGCAGAACTGCCCAGTGGTTCAGATGGAAACCGGTGGGTTTGAAATATTACACAAATAATGAATGTTTATGAGTGCAATGAGAAGAATATTTTCATTAGTTGAAAGATTGACTGCTTCATTCAACGCGACGGAGTTAAGTTGAATGAAACTTCTTTCATTCATTATTTGTTTTATAAATCACCTAAATTAGATTCTTGTCAGTTGATATTTTATCCAAAAAAAAATCTACCTATATCCTGAATGAAATAGTCCAGCTTCTCTTCAACCAATGGTAATAGGCTGAGGCGTGCAATGTGAGCGAAACGGACCGAACAAAAAATGCACGGATGGAACTAACCATAAATGCACAGTTGAATTGGTGTAAATAACCAATGTCACGTGATAAAAATCCACCAATCAAATGACAAGGATTGTATTTAGGTGTGTTATAATTTCTTTTATTCATTTTCCTATATAAAATCTCTTTCATTTTTATCATAATGTAACGGTATTCATAAAAATACTATTGTACCATGTTTTTCCTTTTGATAAAAAAATAATTTTCATCAATTATAGTCTGAGACAGCTTTGTGTCTGCAGGTGTTACTGATTGAAAACTTGGGTCCCTATTTGTTTCTCGTTTACAATCAGTGTATGTATTAGAATTGTATGGTACCCTCATAAAATAAACTTTAATAAAAAAAAAAGAATATAAATTTTACGTCTGGTGCTGTACTTCTATGTAGTTGACGCTGTAAATAGTTAGCACGCTAGGGTCTTGTCTCTACTTTGTTATACGTCATAGTAGGCCTTTACCTTGATAAACCATTTCGTTGTTATTTGCTACAGGTATGTCCTCAGGCTTTCAATTAGCAGAAAGTTCGAAATATCAGTAGCTTGATTCTCCCAACATCCTGCTAAACCCAATAATTTATTTACTGGGCAGTTATATTTCAATAAAATTATAGACTCATTATCAAATTTAAATATACTACATGTTTAGCACTAATTAAAATATCAGCTGTAAGGACCACCCATAAGTTAATCTAAGACTCTTTTAACAATGCTATTTCGTACTTTCCTACAGAGTTGAAGAACTTATGTATAGTTTACCGAGGGAAATGACTTACACTGAAGATAATCCACCACCAGGAGGCTACGTTCAAAGTACTCTATCACTTCAAACCACCGAAATCGGAGAGTATGACTACAGTATAACGGCAACAGATGATTACGGGTATTTTAATTAATTTTAAGTCTTTTTGAATCACAAGTAAATTATATCAAAAATCAATATTATTGGTATCATCAATATTATTATTTTTTTTTGTAATAAAATATTTAGAATGCAAATATAAAGCAAAGATATAAACGAGCAGCGTTCCTTCACAGGTATTTCCAAAATGCTCAAGGTTTCGAAAGAAATTTGTCTATAAAATAATCAACCATATACTAAAACAATAATTAAAATTCACCATTTTTAATATAGATTCATGAATATTAATTGACAGAGAAATAACAGAAATAACAAAATATTTTATTTTACAGAACCCAAGGACCTACTGCTTTCGGAAAAGTTTACGTTACGAGTAAGTTAACTAAGATGTAAGATTTTTTTTATTGTCACATAAAATAAGATACATGTAAAATATGTTTTCTTGATGGAAAACGGATAAATGTAGTATCAACTATTTGCCGACTAAAATCTAAAAAAAAATAGGTTTACAAATGAAATTGACAAGTCTGAGCTAGGCCAAGATAAATATACGAACAAAATATATAAACCACTTAAATAAGAAACGCGAATGCCAAAACAATAGTGATTCACCGAAGGTGACCAGGGTGGGTCTTCACTATCTGATATCAAAACAGCTTTACTGTCACACCTGAGTGCATGCAGGCAAACGTTATGTATTATTCTGGGCTCCGGTAAGTATTGAAAAGTAGGAAATAGTTATCGACTTTTAATGAGACACAATTAAATTTCGCTTCGCTTTCAATTTACTTGTACAAGCTGCTTACCACAAGAACCAAATATTACGGTACTTTTGATAGCCGAGAAAAATACATACTTTTTCTAACTTCATTTGAAACGTAATATCTTATAATTAGAAAACACAAAGTATGCAATATGCGTATTGAAATTCTATTGTTAACTGTACTAGCTTAACTCAGATAGTATTTTTAAAATATCTTATCTACCGTATATTATAATTACACTTATTTCAAAAACCAAACAATCACAATAAAAAATAAAAAAAATAAAATAAAAACCAAACGGAGGTCCTCAAAAAGGGTCTGGGATTCGAAACCTACCAGTCTGAAAAACTGCAACAACATAGATCATGCGGTGTAACTTACCATATTTTGAATCATCAGTTTCACAAACTTTTAACTTTTCAAAGTATAACGGTGTAAATAGACACAATGAAGTTCGGTTTCCACTGGAAATAAAAGGGGTCTGTACGGCAAACACTTGAACTCACTTCTAAAATATACTTAAGCATCAGAAAGCCAATGAGCAGAGTGTTTAACAACCGAGTTAGCCCTCAACCATTCATAAAATTAACATTACATGTATTTGTTATGAATTTAGTCTTCAAATATACATAGTAAATAAAATATTTCTGTAGGACCACTTGGGTTTCACAATAAATTATCAGTAGTCTACGAAAGCTCTGAGTTGACTAGGAGAATATCCAAAGGTCCTGAAAGATCATTGTCCAGGACGTTACAACTATTTACGTAGGGGTCTAGGGCCAGTGATAAATTTCCGTAGTATAATGTTATGCCAATCTTAAGCTACATTTTCACTAGACACCATAACGACAAGACAACGACACGATAAAAATGCGCTCAGTGTTGAAGAATATAAACGACGCAATAATATTATGTCGTTGCCTTGTCGTTATCGTGTCAAGTGTAAATGTAGCTTTATTTTAGTCATGGTCATGAATAATTGTTCTATTTTATCGAAACTAATCGCGACGTTTAACATACTAAGAGGGTTAGCGAGGACGCTGTCTGGCCTGCAACAGTGGATCTTTCCGGAGAGCTAATTAATCTGAACTCACCAATCAGAACAGGTTAAGAAATGCGTACGTGTCATACAAACACACGTGTTGTCCCCACAAACGCACGTCTGTGCGTATGTTGTTACATACGCAATAATATCGAAGAGCGGGACCATAAGTAACAATATCACAAGGGCGGGGCCTAGTAAAAAAATTCATTGCCCACAAGCAAAGAAGCTATGCAGCTGTGTAGCAATGTTATGGATATCAGCCTTAACATAGAAATTAGCCACTATCATAATAGGCCTATTCCCCATTGTGATATGATTTTATTGAAATACAAATAACATTACCCAAGTATTACAGATGATGATGAAGTTACAGCACCGGACCCTCCTCAGATTCTCATCCATGAATCTTTTCCGAGAAGCAATACCGAATTGGATGGACGTCTGTGCGCATGTTGTTACATACGCAACAATATCGAAGAGCGGGACCATAAGTAACATAGAAATTAGCCACTATCATAATAGGTCCTATCCCCCTTTGTGATATGATTTTATTGAAATACAAATAACATTACCCAATTATTACAGATGATGATGAAGTTACAGCACCGGAACCTCCTCAGATTCTCTCATGAATCTTTTCCGAGAAGCAATACCGAATTGGATGGACGTCTGTGCGCATGTTGTTACATACGCAACAATATCGAAGAGTGGGACCATAAGTAACAATATCCCAAGGGCGGGGCCTAGTGGGAAAGTTCATTGCCCACGAGCAAAGAAGCTATGCAGCTGTGTAGCAATGTTATGGAAATCAGCCTTAACATAGAAATTAGCCACTATCATAATAGGCCTATCCTCTTTTGTGATATGATTTCATTGAAATACAAATAACATTACCCAATTATTACAGATGATGATGAAGTTACAGCACCGGACCCTCCTCAGATTCTCATCCATGAATCTTTTCCGAGAAGCAATACCGAATTGGATGAGACGTTAATCGATTGGTTTATTAAATTTGATTCACCGGTAAAGTATATATTAAATTCATATCATTCTGGATTGACAGTCATGATTATTTAGTGATACATTATTGGTTATACGTCTAAATACTAATACGATGTTTTTGTTATCTTTTCTTCATTTGTTTACTAGCTTTATAATTATTAATGTTAAATATAATAATAATCATAAATCACGCATAAACACCACCCCGCCCCCACACCCAAATTACACACCTGCTGTATGTTCTATTAGTAATCTTCGTGGTATTGTGCTGTATTGTGTTGTAACTATAAAGGCTTTTGTAATGTTGCCAGTTGTATCTTTTTAATATACAAAGTAGTGTAAATTAGTGAAATTTTTCAACAAGAATGATAAACTTTATGTATAAGAAGCTTCACTCCCGGCGGGCTCGTTGAGGTCATGGAAATTCGAAAAATATTCTTCAGAGTCAAACCACTATGGTTACATTATATTTTAAACAGTTGCGCCGACTGGTATTTGGCATCATCAGTACTAACAAATTTATTAGCATTACCGAAAGTGTATTATACGTTATCTTACTAATGCAAGTGATAACAAGATATAAGTGGCCAATATTCTCTAGAATAATTATATACCTTAACATCTGTAGGTTTCAAGGCCAGAGAATAGCGCCTACGTTACTATCACGGATGTTACAATGAGGACAACATTTGCCCGATACGACGCATCAAACCCCGATGAAGTAGATTTTCCGACAGATGATCCAACGATTGCTCGATACAAGGCGCCAACAAATTTAATTGGTGGTCGAGAATACCTCATTCAAATAGACGAAAGTTTCGGGGTTGTCAAATATACAGCACTTTGTTATCGATCCGCCATTAAATCAGATCGTTCGCTTTACAATTTCAAGAATCGTAAGTCGTGTTACTACAATTATATATGTATATATAGGCCTATATAT